CCCTCTGCTGTTTAATGTATCAGCTTTACTGACCCATTCACAGTTTTGATTTAAAACTACAATTACCGTTTTCCCCACTGAGTTTTCCCTTGAAACTCTCCCTCCTTCCTCTCAGTATCCAACTGCGAAGTTACGTTGGACGCAAATACTGGGAACCTCATAAGACCACGAGAAAGGATTGAATAAGAAGAGGTCTTTTGACTCATGAAGCCTACTCTTTCCACAGACCACACAAATCCCTGCATCCAATTCATTTTATCACATCCACTCTACTTCCATTAGGTAGCTCTACAAAGTTGCTCCCTGATCCCCAAAGGCATTTAAGCAACAGCTTCAGAGTATTCATTACATTGAGTGATACAGTGTGGAAATAGGCCATTCGGCCCAATTAGCTCATGCTGTTGTTTATGCTTTACACAATCTCCCATCATTCCTATTCTCCTTTCCTATATTCCATTATTCCCTTCTCTCTCTTATGAACCAAGTTTTCTCTTACATTTATTGATGCTTTTTGCATCAACGACAGCTTTCAGCAGTGAGGTCCACATTCTCACTACCCTTCTGGGTGAAGAAGTTCCTCCTAACCTCCCTATTGATCTATTACCAGCTATTTATATTATTTTGTGATATTTGATATGATCAAATTTGTTATGAATGACTTGCGTCTTCCTTCCCCATTAAGGAAAAGTCGGGAAGAAAAATGCCAACTTGACATTTTATGCTTCTTCATTACATTCAATAAATGCACTTTTTATGGAAGACAATGACAAGTCCCACATTCCTGATGCTGAAAACAACAACAGCTTGCATTAATATAGTGCCCTTCACATCAGGTAGTGACCTGGAGAGCTTGATTGTATATTATGGAGTATGTGTAACAACAAGTTACATTTGTACAGCGCTCTTCACAGCAGGAGGAAGTCCCATTGTGAAAGGCACTAATGTAATTTGTTGTAAATGTAACCACAAACCCTGTTTGTTAGATTACTGCAGCCTGCAGGATTATCAGGGAAAAAAAAGTTTCAATCCACTAATGTTGCTTGATATTTCAATTTGTTTTCAGTTCTCAAGGGGTTAAGCACGAAAGCAACACGATTAGATAAAGACTGAATAATCCATTATCATAGCTCTGCTAATGAGCATCTTATCCGTGCTACTCAGTGAGTGAGTCTGCTTGTAATTCCATTCCTTTAAACTCTGCACCCAGTTAAGCGTTTGAAAGGTATTCTGCTGTTTTGTTAACAGCAAGTCATACCCTGCATTAATTTTACATGAGGCTTTCCCCCGGTGGTAAACTGCGCAACTACTCAGCCCTGCTTTGTATAGTTCAGAAAATCCACTCCCAAAGAACCTTTTGATTCTCAGGCCCCAGGGCCACTAGGACTTCTGTGACATATCTACTCTCATTTCTCTCTGGTGCACAGCGCCATGCTCATTCTGTATATAACACGGATGCTGTAATCACCCATAATTATATCAATCCCCAGGGATCGCAAGGTTCAGAAAACATAATCTCATGAGATTTTCCTTTTTTTCAGAAAGTAAACAATTGCTCAGTGTTTCAATAATGTGAAGCAAGCTGTTGTTACTTTGTGTGAATCCCAGTTATTTTATGGGGGATTTAAGTATGCTGATTTTGCTGGAAAGTAATGTATATGCAAAACTGGAGTCCAGCGAATCTGAATCCAGACTGTTAATAAGCAGCCTCTGCGAGACACAGTGTAGGTAATGAGTGCCCAGGCTTTCCTAGGTACTGAGTACATCTCAATGAGGGGAAGAGAGGGGAAGAGAAGAAAGCGAGGTGATGGAATAATCCTGAGACACTCTGATGTTGCATTTAGCTATCAATTACATCTCAACCGGAAAACAAGGTGGGAGAGAAATTTGAGACCATTTCTCCTTGAGACTTTCTGTTAGCTTCTCTAAGTGCCCACTTACACAGCAATGCTTGAAGGCTTTGGAGCTGGTCTGGAGCTGGCGAATGAAATTGATAATGCAATAGAAGCAAGGCAAGACAGATTAAAGGTAACTTTGAGATTTTACAAAAAAGTAACATTCTAAAATCCTAATCCAATGAACAACTCAGTGTTCTTAAAGTAATCTGAATCCCACAAATTCAAAGGTTTTGCAGTATTAAAAAACTGACATGGAATCCCGTCGTGTAGTGGTTAGCAGGCTCACCTCATAGGTGAGAGGACCCAGGTTCAATTCCTAGTGGGGTGAAACCTTAGGCAAGTTTTCTTACTCCACACGTGTCTGTTTACCCAGCAGTAAGTAGGAACATGATTGTTAGTCAATTGGTGGATTGCTTTCCGGGGGTAACAATTCCCCTCACCCCCCAAAAATGGTCATTCATTCCATGTCTGTTTGTGGCATACTGCTGTACACAATTGGCTGCCACCTTTCGCCCACAAAATACACAGTCACTCCACTTTGCAATATATTCTGTGAAACGCTTTGAGACATCTCAACAACATGAGCAAATGCAAAGATTATTACTATTAAAATGGATAACAAAGGAATTGTAGCAAGAACTTGGAATCCCTTGTGGGCTACTCATAACTAAGCATGTAATGCCATTGTCTTTATAATACAATTAGATTGAGAACCATACTGATCAGAACATCCAACGTACATTATTATTTCATTAGTTAAGAGATCAGACCTGTTAAAGTCTCAACTGAAGGATGGCAACTCTCCCGATGTAGGGCTCCCACTACATTGTGTTGAAGAGTCAGCTGAGACTTTGAGCTCAAAGCCCCAGGTGAGACATAGAGTCACAAACTTCTGACTCAAAGGATAGAGTGAACCATTAACCTCTTTGAAGATCCCAACATGAAAGACACTATATTGAATGTGAAATTGTTGTTGTTGGAATATCACACTCTCAAGACGTACTTGCTATTAGAAAAGCTGAATATTAATAGCCCATTATAATTTAATTCACGTTAATTTATCATGTATTACCATGCATGAATGAATAATACACCAGCTCTATAACTGTCTAAAGGGACGATTTGGATCAAGCACAGCTGAAACAGATTTTAGCTTTGGCTTAGATGAGGTGCTACATATTCAACTGAGCAAGTTGTTCTTCAGAAAAATAAACAATACTAATTTCTCCAAACATTTTCAACAATAAAATTACCCAAATTTTCAAATGCTTGTGCCAATGCAAAACAAGAACCAACAACAACAACAACAACTTGCACTTATCAGCACTCTCCACGCAGGATAGTGTCTCAGAGCGATTCACTTATAACCTACACTTGTATACCACTTATATAGTACCTTTCATGGAGAAGAAACATCTTGAAGCATTTTACACGTACCAGTCTGGCTCAAATGGTAGCAGTCGTCTCTGAGGCAGAAGGTTGTGGGTTCAAGCCTCAGTTTGGAACTTTGAGCTCATAATCAAGGCTCACACACACTCCCAATACAGTACTGTGGGAATACTGCATGGTCAGAGTTGCCATCTTTTAGATGAGACATCAAACCTGTCCAATCTACCTGTTCAAGTATTAAATATCCCATGGCACTATTTGAAAAAGAGAAGCAAGTTTCTCCCCAGATAAAATCCCTCAGATAAAATTGCTCACACAATCCTCCAAATAAAATTATTTATTCACTTTATAGCTGTTTGTGGAACATTGTACGCACATTGCCTATCTCACTTGCATACAAATACACAGTGTACTTTACAATACATCTGTGAAACGCTTTGAGACGTTTTGACAATGTGATCAAATATTAAAAGCAAGGATGAATATTGAAGATGAGATTGAATTGAAATGAAGTGACAGCTCAGAGATGTTACCCCGCGTGAAGGACGCTATATAAATGTAAGTTGTTATTGTTGTTGAATGTTGTTACAGGGAGAAATTCTCCCTACATCCTTGTACTCTTCCTCACTATTTTCAAAACCCTTCTAAAAACCTGCCTGTTTGACTGCCTCTTTGGTCAGCTCAGTATCGCCCAGTCCGTGATTCCCCTCCATGTCTGTAAAGTACTTTGAGATATTTAACTACAATGTGAAAGACACTAAATAAATACAAGTTGTTGTGTTTGAGATTTTGAGCTGCAGGAAATGGATGCCAAGTGGAAAGCTATTCTGGTGTAAATGTCTGTAAGACAGTTCGCTCAAAAAAAAGTTTTTGTGTAAGTTTCTAGAGTAAAGGTGGCCTACATTTAGTATGGTTTGTTTTTAAAAAGAAGATTCAGGTCAATACCATTTCTCCCCACGGAAAACAGCCCACGCTTGAATTTCATCCTTCTGTATACTCCTGTCAACTCGTTCTACCTATTGAAGGTGTGAGGAGATTTGTTATAAATGTTGTTGGGTTTTCAAACCCCTTGTTTGCCTAAGGCTCTGCCAGAGGCCTATCTCAGTCCTACCAGTATGTAGCAATGCCCAAAGATAATAATAATCCTTGCATTTGATATTGCGCTTTCCACGTTTTCTAGACGCCTCAAAGCGCTTCACAGAATATACTGTAAAGTGAATTGACCGTATATTTGTGGGCGAAATAAATAAGTTACTGAACTATAAATATATTATCCCTACAGTATATATGTAATTGTAGGTACCTATAATTAATAATAATAATAATCCTTGCATTTGATATAGCGTCTCATCAAGTCATTGGGACGTCTCAAGTGCTTCACAGAATATGAATTGATTGTGGTTGAAACGCAGCAGCCAATTGTGCAAAGGTGTCCCACAAACAGTTGTGAATTGAGTGACAAATTTCTTTGCAACAAAACATAACGTGCAAAAAAAAATCCCGTGGCACATTATTTAAAAATATATTTGTTCTTTATGAATATTTTGCTTACAGACATCTGAAAATTATTCTGAAAGAGTTCTAAAAATGCATAAAGATGAACAGGTGAAGACTGTTAAAAACGGGCTGAATCTCTCTTTGTGGGTGGGGTGAGTTATTGATTACAGTTTTTTTTAAGTGAGCAGCAGTCGGCTTATATTTTTGCTGCATTCGCAGGTTGGATCCCTGACAGTGGACAATTGCACCAGCAATCAGCCTGCACAGTTCTGCTCCGTAAGCACTCCAGGCGTAGGCACAGAGAGGTATCACTGAGTCTCCAGTTATGTGCTTTGTAAATCTTTTATTACGTTCAATTGGCATTACAGTCGTACGAAAATGATATGATTCCAAGATATTTTTCCAACCTTCCTTTTGTAAATAAATTTACACAGTTTTTGATTGTGTTGCTTCCAGGACTCTGGATTTGGATAAAAATAGCATGGTATTGGGAGGAATCAAATCCATTGACCCGATCCTCCTTCGCCCAGATCAGGTGAAAACAGATGACTTCATTGGCTGCATTAGAGAAGCTAAGCTGAACAGTGTTCCTCTTGAATTTGCTGAGGCATTGTCTTCGTATAACATCCTCGCCAGGTACTATGTTTCACTTAGCACTGTTGTGTCATTCCATAAATAGCGTCGAGAAGTAGGTTCTTTTACCGCATTTTACCACATTAGGGTAAACTGGTCATTTGATCGTTTATTTGTGGAAACTAGTGCTTGATACTTATAATTTAATATGGCTTTCACACATACTGATGACCACATTCTAAAATATTGCATATATTTCAAACTGCAATTGTGTTTTATATCCTCCTGACCTTTGGCTTTTATATAAATGCAGACAAATCAAACTTTGAGAGCCTGTAAATCTGTAAAGGGACTCACAATACTTGTGATCTTGCAAATTCATAACCTGATATGGTCCGTTTGAAGGAACCTGTCAATTCAATTGGTTTAGCAATAGCTTTAGACATCTAACCAGAAAATCAAGCACTTGAATTCCAAGTTGTCAGTCGCTCAGCCTTACTTGGATGAGTTGTTGTGTGTTTCAGCCAGGCTTCACTCTCTATGAAGTACAACATAGTAATGATATATTACATTTTGACAAAAGGAAACAGTGACATAACCTGACTAGTCTCACACTTGTGTTCACCTTCTATGATTGAGCACAATGCAGCACAGATGGTGGCAGTGGAGAAATCAGGCTATTAGAGTCTCTGCTTTGAAGATGCTTTTTGGAAGCAAGTGATACTTGGAGGGAAAGAAAATATTAGATATACCATAAGATATAGAACTACAGGCAAAGAATTGTCACAGTGCGGTTCTTTGAGGTATTTTTGGACCACATGATAAATTAGGCTTTCAAACATTTAACAATGACAATTTCTGCTGTTTTTGATTGGTAGCGTCTCTAGGAGATTCGAGGCTCCTTGGGTTGGCTGGTTTTGTGCTAAGATTTCAGCTTACATATAACTGAAATAATAAACATCAATATTACAGTAATAAATACAGTAATACGTATAACTTTACAATGATAATATTAATCCCAAATTATATATATAAAACGCTTCAAAAACAATAAAAGTTTTAACACTTCAAAGGGTGAATTTTAAATACTGTATTTCATTCGTAAAATATTTAATAATGATATTAAATCTGTTTTGAGGATTTTGCAAATTTCCATCCTTTTAACCATTTCTGTTATCTTCCATTTTTCACATTCTCTCTCCTAAATATTATTATTTTAACTACATTTAAATAACATTCTATTTTAAATTTGTAACAATAATTTGCATTTATATCGTGCCTTTTAAGTGGGATAGTGTCTTAGAGCACTTTACAGTGGTGGAGCTTGACATCGAGCTTGGGAGAGAGGGGTGGTGACCATCGATACAGTTGGAGGAAGGTCTGAAGACGGGCTAATAGGGGGAAAGCAGAGGGATTGAGGTAGAGTTCCATGGTTTCGGGGTGTGGCACCTGAAGGCACAGCTGCTTATAGTGGAGTATAGGGGGCGAGGGGCTTGCAGGAGGCCGGAGCCAGCTGAGCGAAGAGAGTGGATATTTGAGGGAATTAATTGATTTGTACGCAAGTATGAGGATCTTGAAATCCATCCCTTCTGCAATAGAGAATCAGTGGAGTCTGGCAAGGACTGGGATAACGAGGATGTGGAGTTTGGTGCAGGTGAGGATGTGCGCAGCAGAGTTTTGAGTGAATTGGATTTTTTGAATGATGGAGCTGGGGAGACCGGCAAGGAGAGCATTGGAGAAATCAAGCTGTGAGGTGACAAATGCGTAAATAAGGGTTTTAGCTGAGTTGGGTGTGAAGTTTCACTATTTTCCTTATTTTCCGAACAAAATGTTTCCTTATTTTGTTAATGCAAAAACCTGCATTTGTATTGCACCTTATCCCATCCAAAAGCATTTCCACAGCTAAGTACTGATAAATGTATTAACAATATGTAGATATATGTGGCATTATGTAGCTACTTGCACCAGCATGGTCTCAGAACACAACCGTGATCATCCATTAGTCTGGAGATTCTTGGCCAGGAGAAACTCTTCTCTTTTTGAATAGTGTCATGCGATCCTTAATATCCGTCAATGGAGGCAAACATGGTTTAACATCTCATCTGACAGTGGGCATTTACAACAATGCAGTGCAGGCTCCCCCAGACTCCCACAGAGGGCTGACACCATACCAAATTCCATTGGCAAACATGTCACTGTGGAGCCATCTCACCTCCAAGGAAACCCTAAGGAGGGCAGTGCTCCGAGATGCCATCTGGCATGACGGGCGCTATGTAGATGCAAGTTGCTGTTATTTTGTTGTTGTTGATAGTCACTAGTTAGTTCAATTCCAGGCAGGGCGAAACCTTGGGCAAGTTTCCTTACTCCACACGCCTAATAATAATCCCTCCAAAAAACAAAAACAATAATAAATTGGTCATTTTCAATCTACGACTGTTTGTGGGACATTGCTGTGTGCAATTGGCTGCCGCGTTCGCCCACAAATATACAGTCAATTCACTTTACAGTATATTCTGTGAAGCGCTTTGGGACATCCTCCCGACGTGAAAAGCGCTATATCAAATGCAAGGACTATTATTATTATTGATATCCGATTAAGTACAGATTTCAGTCCTTAATAGGTAGGTGACTGGTACAAGGAACTCACTGTGAGCTTTCTGGGGCAACACAGCTCAGCATGAAATCCATGAGAGCATTACTGTTATCCTCCTGCCCACAGCTCAAACACACATTCCTATCCAATGTGATTATTTCACCAGTTGGATGTACGGAGCTTAAGCAGCAGCTGCTTATTTCTCTGCATACAAATCAAGATGGATACCAAAAGATATATGAGCATGTGTTCACAAATCTGGACTCCAGGTAACTCCTTCTAGCCCCTGTTGTCCCAGGTCTAAGAGTTTCCTCGTCCGCTATTCAGTAGACATGTCTTGAGTGGGACCTATACAGGACAGTTTTTTGTTTAATTCTGGAGGTAATGACCCAGATGTTAAAAATTGGCTATAGATAGACAGAAACGTTGTGGCAAAAGCTTTGGTTTTACACGCAATCAAGGTTCATGACCTCAAACGTAAAATTGACCTGGAAAGTGTAGTCTCTTTAAGAAATGGGGAAAACTTGTTTCCAAATTAAGAATTTAAGAGTTTTCTATAATTCTGTGTGATGTTAAAGACTAAGGAATCTTCAGGTCTCAGATCTGTTTTATTTGACATCCACGTTCATTCAGTCCTTCCATATCCTTCTTCAGCGCATTCACCTGTGCTTGCAATATATTAAAGTTTGCTTGCCAGGTATGAGGCCATAGTAACATAAGATTTGGCACAAAATTGTAGCAAAGGGCAGCCAAATGGCACCCTGATTCAGCTTGTTCACCTTTCATTCAATTATGTAACTTGGCACAGGGAAGCATAGTGTCTGTCCCAGTACAACAGCTGAAGTCAACCCTATGCCTCACAAACTAAGACACAGCATCATGACGCACATTGAAACTGAGCTACTCACCAGTGTCATTCTGACTCCTTGAGCCAGCAGACTTGTGACAGTGAGTAGATTTATTATCTGGCTGGATCAACCAAGCCGGACACACTGGGCAGTCCTTGTCCTCTAAAACTCAAAGGACCATTGCACTTGGTCAAATCTGTGTGTGGGACACTTGACATGGTGTATACATTCATGGTGTATACACTCGCGATCTGCTCACATCCCATTCCACTACCAGCCAACTTTGCACGGGTCTACTGCACGTCTCTCGTCCCCTCCGCTCCACAATTGTCGGCCATGCTTGCAGCCACTATACCTTAATTCTCTGAAATTCCTTGCCTCAATCCCTCCGTTTTGACTCCTTTTTTCCCATCTCCAAATCATACCTGAAGACTTTGAACGTGCCTTCGGTCACCCCCCACTCCCTTTGCAGCTCGGCATCAAACCATACTACTTTTAGCTGTCCGAGACACTATCCATCTGAAGACCGCTTTGTAAATGCAAGTTATTACTGTTGTTCCTATATTATGAAAAGTTTCATGAGAGTTACAATGAACAAGATTGAAAAATAATTTTGAACTCTCGACCTTGAGGCTTGGCCATTTCTGTTGTTTATTTCTATTTATCTCTAGTCCTTTCCTGGGATAATCTCTATGCACCTGTTTTCTGCAACTCTTTCTTTGATGTACATCTCTGACTTTCTCAGCCTTTTGATCTCTTTTCAATCTTCACGTCTTCCTATCTCTATGTTGATTTCTTTTCCCCATTTCAGTCTCTCAGCCGTAAATGGCCAGGCCTCTCTTTTTGATTTCCAGTCTCGATGCCTCCTTTGCTCTATTTTGAGTGAGTCATGTAGTGCAGTGGTTAGAGCACTCGCCTTGCAAGTGGGAGGACACGGTTTTGATTCCTGGGCGGGACGAAAACTTACACAAGTTTCCTTATTCCACACGCCCTTGTTTACCTAGCAGTAAGTAGGAACCAGGTTGTTGGTCAATTGGCAGATTGCTTTTCCGAGGGTAATAATCCCTTCAAAAAATTTTAAAAATAAAATAAATAATTTGGTCACTGAATCTATGACTGTTTGTGAGACACTGCTGTGCGCAATTGACTGCCGCGTTTCGCCCACAAAATGTACAGTCAGTTCACTTTACAGTATATTCTGGGAAGTGCTTTGAGACGTTTTGAAGATGTGATAAGGTGCTATATCAAATGCAAGTATTATTATTATTTTGAGACACTATTTGCTTGGTCTTCCAGCTAATAACACTTTAAGATCTTATCCTTTTCTTGTTCTGCGTGTAAACAACAACAAGATTCCATTTACAGAGCGCCTTTCACGTCGGGAGGACGTCCCAAGGCGCTGGACAGTTGGGTCAGGACCCGAGCAAGGGGGGAAATGGTCAGGGGGAGGGAAGGGAGGGAGCAAGGAGGGGGGAAATGGTCAGGGTGAGGGAGGGAAGGGAGGGAGCGAGGAGGGGTAGAGAGTCAAGAGGGGAGCTGAAGGCTCGGTCAAAGAGAAAGGTCTTGAGACCGGCTTTGAAGGAGGAAAGGGAGGAGGCGGCGAAGGCACTGGGGGATAGAGT